TTTCAGAAAGAAGGTTAAATCGTGGTTCTGGGACCAGACCTTTGGACAGCAAGCATGACAGCACTTTGGATGTTGAATCGGACTGGAATTGGCTATATGGATTGATGACAATGTTTTTAATGTGTTTTTAACTGAATGTTCTATTTATTGTTTTAAGCTGTAGTTATATTTGTTTATATTTTTATTATCTTGTGGCATCGAATTGTTGCCGGTGTAAGCCGTCCTGAGTCCCCCCTTCAGGGGGTTGAGGAGGGCAGGTTAGAAATGTGGGAAATAAATAAATAAACCTACTGGTCTCTAGAGATTACTTCTATTCCACATGTGTCAAACTCAGGGCCTGCAGGCCAAATCTGGCCTGCCGTGTCATTTTATGTGGCCCTACAGATGCTAGGCTGCAACTCCTGTATTCCTTATAATAACTACAGCTGATGGGAGTTCGAAGGCTGCAGTTCATTTTGTTTAGTCAAGAGAGCGGTGTTCGATTTAGATACAAGGCTCATGGATATGATGTATGCCTTTAAAATGTCTTTTAACTTTTCCCTAACCTCATAGCCACAAGAGCTGTTTGGTTGCAATTCCTACTATTCCCAGCCCACATGCCATATCATCAGAGGTGATGGGAGTTATCATTCGATAACATCTGGGGATTGGAATTGGGTAAAAATGAAAGAGCACTGACCATTATGTAAAAAAATATATAGTTGGCCCTCTATCCATGGATTCTTCATCCGTGGATTCATTTCCCTTTGAAGACAACCCCAAGGCTGATGTGACTCTTGATGAAAATGAGTTTGACACCCCTGACCTAGGTCCTCCAGTGCAGGTCTGCGGTCAACTTCCACCAGAGATCAACCATAGAGTCATGCTGATAGACCTAGCAATTTCTAAAGAGATGTTCTCTCAGGAAAGAAATAGGGTTTTTTTCCATGTCAGAAGCGACTTGTGAAACTGCAGAGAATTGGCTGTCTGCAAGGATGTTGCCCAGGGGACGCCCAGATATTTCATGTTTTACCATCCTTGTGGGAGGCTTCTCTCATGTCCCCACATGTGAAGCTGGAGCTGACAGAGGGAACTGATCCGCACTCTCCCCAGATTTGAACCCCTGACCTGTCAGTTTTCAGTCCTGCAGGCACAAGGGTTTAACCCATTCACAGTTTTTTATTTTCACAAGAGGCCTGTGCCGATAACCCCAACTAATGTAGAGGGCTGGTTGTACTTATACTCCACTACCTTCACTCTGTCTTTCCCAGAATGTAGGGATCCAGGCTTTTTTTGGGGGGGGGGGGCATGGAAGGGGGGAGATTGTGAAGAAAAGCCGAAGGCATCTCTAGTATCTTGATGGTGGACCAAAGACCAGGCAAGAATGAACAGATGGCTTGAGCAACACGCATATGGTACAGTTGTGGAATGGGCTGATGGACCACGATAAATGTATATTTCTGCCTCTCCAAATGTTAGATGTTAGGATCATAGAATCCTTGAATTAAAAGAGACCACATGGATCATCCAATCTAACTTCTTTCTATCCTTTTTAAAGACTTTGCCTGTTCTATATTTCCTATGCCAATTTGTGCTCCATCATCTGCCTTTTGATGGACAGATAATCCCTCCATGTGCACATTTGAAAATTGTACACCTTAATATTACATCCAAAGCCTGGCTGAAATACATTTTAGTCAAGAAAGGAATGCATTCCGTAGTCATAGAATCATAGAGTTGGAAGAGACCTCATAGGCCATCCAGTCCAACCCCCTGCAAGCAAGAAAATCACATTCAAAGCACCCCTGATAGATGGCCATCCAGCCTCTGTTTAAAAGCCTGAAAGTTCAGAAAGTTCATGCAATTCAGAAATTTCATGCAATGTAAATACCCCAAAGGCACCAAATTTTACCTGATCTTAGATGCTTAGCAAGGTCGGTCTGGTTAGGACTTGGATGGAACCACCAAGGTGCTGTAGGCTATATTTCAGAGAGGAACTAGAAAAACCATCTCTGAGTATTCCTTGTTGTCTCAGAAATTAATGAGGTCACTATAATTCAGTGTGCAAGTTGATGGCACATGCAAACTGCTAACTCATGTACAACTTTGTGTACACTTGCCAAAAAAGTGAAAAGTTTTCCCTAATTTAGAAACAAATATAACAAGCCTCGGAGATGGTGTAGACATGGATGTGAGAAAAGTAAGGGAAACCATGGATGTTCCCATCCACAATCAGTTCTCCCAAACAGTGGCTATTATAATCTACTATGTTTGCATCTTTTGGCTACCCTAATAAAACTCTCACTGTTGTGGGCATATTGTTCTTTTCGTTAGTTGTCATCAAGTCTTGGCTTACAGTGGCCCTATGAATGAGAGACCTCCAAGTCACTTTGCTCAGGTCTTGCAAACTCAGGGCCATAACTTCCTTGATTGAGGCTGTCATGCTGGTTGGGGGAGTTGGGGAGTTCTCAATAAAAATGGTAAACTTCTGCAATATTGTGTGTGATTTTTCTGTACTTCCTTTGCAATCCATTCTGTCACTGTTCTCTCTTGTTGCTATAATTGGGTTTGTGAAGTTGATTGGTCATATCAGGAATTTGATGAGAGAGACGCAGCACTAGCCCTGTGCGCCTGGTACTCCATCTGACAGGAAATCCAGAGCAATTTCCTTGTTCAGGTCATATATATCTATTACCCGTTGCTAATACTTCCTGCAAGTGGATTTGAAATATTGATGCTAATTGCTCCTCCTGTTCTCATGGTAGCACATTAAGCAGGTAAAACTAACAAGCTGTGTTTCCTTTTTAAAGTAGAGGGGGATTAATAGTCGACAGACCTAGAGAAGCCCAGGTGCCCAGAATCTTCCTCTGGGTGGCTTTCAAAGGGACATTATTTGACCCGGTCTCACATTGGGCAACACACATGTTAGTGGATAAAATGTAAGATATTGTTTCTGGGCCCCCTTCATACACAACTGAATAATATCTCACATTCTGCTTTGAACTGGAATATATGGCAGTGTAGACTCAGATAACCCAGTTCAAAGCAGATATTGTGGGATTTTCTGCACTGATATTCTGGGTTATATGACTGTGTGGAAGGGCCCTGGGTCTGTCTGACCCACTGATTCCAAAAATGGCACATGTTTTTGCTTATCGGCTCTAGTTTTTGAGATACAGAGCATATGTCATGTATCAGTCTTCATCTGCTCACCCATAGGAAACCATGATAAGCATATCTAAGAAATTAGAGCTGATGCTGTCTTTCCAATGCAATTTTCTGAATCGGTGCCCGAAATAACCCCAGGAACATGCCTAAATAACAAGACACCAAGAAAAAAATATTTGTTTTGTTTGGCTGTGTTATGGAGAGATCTTTATAGATGGGTGACTTTCTTGAGAGTGATGCCCATCAAGAGGCACACAAAGACTAGGACCGGAATGGACAGACTTTAGGCCTTGTCATGCCAGTTCAGCATTAGCCCAGGAACTGATGTTTCCAAACTGAAATCTGAAACCTATGCTCCTGGTGGTGTCATTTGAGCATTATCCATTAATTACTATGCACAGTTGCTCACAGCTTGCTGTTCAAATGCACAACTACCCAGAGAGAAATACCATTGTCCCTCCACATTTGCAGTTTTAACTTTTGTGGATTTCATTACTCACCAGGTTTATTAAAAACATTCTCTCCAGGAATCTGTAGATCCAGAATAATGCTGAAAGACCTAGAAATTCATAGAGAGTTGTCTTCTCAAGGGGAAAAAAGTAATTTCTTGATTCGTGGGTCCCAAACCACAGGAAAATGTTGAGGGCTATCTGTATTTTACTGTTTGGAAATCAAGGCATAATTTCCCAGAGCTAGGTGAATTGAGGAGATTATATCTTCTCACTTACTCAGGGAGATTGGATAAGGAACCTTTACTTTACTTGCCTGCAGTCAGAAACTGGATGTATTGCTGAGCAAAGAAGAGGGTGAGCCCTGGCACTAAAATGACTGGGAGGGAAAGAGAAAACTACATAACTATGTAAATACACAGGCCCTTTGGAGTGTCTTTGCAAGCTAAAGCCATGGATTAAGGCTTACAAATTGTAGCAAGCTGCTGCTTTAATCGCTGGAGAATTGTACATAGCTGTTTCCTCTTGGCTGGAACCAAGGCCACCAAAATGGGAGAATCCCTTCCTCGATCTTCTGCCTTGAGATAACCCATAGAAGCTGGGGATACAGGGTCCGGAAAACTGACAATACTTTATAGGCCCGTGAGATAAGCTTTTATTCTGAAGTGGTCAAAAAAAGGGAAGCTGACATGGTTATTGCCTTATTGGTAGAGATCAGGTGGAAGAAGGGAGCACTTGTGGCCCTACAGTCCTTTGTGCCCTTTCCATTCTCCATTCTCTGTTGGAAGACAATGGCTGTGGACAGATGTTGGGGGTTGAAACAGATACTGTCATCTAGCATGATGACAGTGTCTTATTAAAAGATCTTTTAGAGTTAAAGTCATAGGAGCCCTGTAGTTCAGTCTGGCAACCCTAATTTCAGAGCAAGATGCCTCGAAGCACACACGCAGTTGAGGAATATGTTCTAAGTAACACAACATAAACTTGCACATACAAGGGTCCCACAGGCGTGCACACACAGTGACACACTTCTTAATTTTCCCCACACCAACTGAAGTCTTGATTTTATCAGACTAATTTAGGTAAGGCTTGAAATAGGGTTTTTATTTTTAGTATGACTCACAGAATCTTCCAGACATCATAACTGGGGAGGGAATTTTGGGAATGGTAATTCAAAACAGAAAACTTACTAAGCTCTGAATTTAGGGAGGGAAAGAGACTCTTATTCTCAGTGTGAAACCATTCTGAGCCTGAAAAAAAAATCTGTTTTGCTCAAAATCACCTGGAGGTCTCCTAAGAGAACCCAATCTGCTTTTCTGTCTCTGAGAAAGACAAGCTATACAGATGATTGATGAATGCTTACTTAATGTTCTGACTTTCCCATTGTCTTTTTTTTCCTCGCAGGGGGAGTTGTTGAGCCCATGTCGATGTGCGGGGTCTGTCCGCTGCACCCACCAGCCCTGCCTGATTAGATGGATCAGTGAGAGGGGCTCCTGGAGCTGTGAGCTGTGCTATTTCAAGTACCAGGTCTTAGCTATCAGCACAAAGAACCCCTTACAGGTAAGCCCAGGGTAGCAACCTGTCAGTTGAACGGTTTGGGTGGGTGGAGGGAGGAAGGTTAGCTGCAGACGACACTAGGCAAAATACACATCTGGGCATGCATTCATGCCGATGTGGTGGCCTACTAGCAAAGCCTGCCAACTGTTTTTGTTTTGCTTTTCTTCCCATTCTCTTGAGTTGTGGACAGGACTATTCATTATATAAAATGGAGAGATGGTGACAAATACACTTCCATATTATTTATTATTTATTATTTACCATATTAGGAGAGAACCAAGGGTACAGTTGTAATGTATTTAAGAAACACGTTTGTAAACTTGACATTATATTAAATTTCCTTTGATCAGTAGCTGGACACTTGGAGTGCCTCTGGTGTTGCTATAAGAAGGTCCTCCATTGTGCCATGTGGCAGGGCTCAGGGTGCATTGTAATAGTTGGTCTGTGGTTTGCTCTTCTCCACACTTGCATGTCCTGGACTCCACTTTGTGGCCCCATTTCTTAAGGTTGACTCTGCATGTCATGGTGCCAGAGAGCAGCCTGTTCAGGGCTTCCCATATGTATCCCTAGCTCGGTGGTTCTCAACCTGGGGTCCCCAGATGTTTTTGGTCTACAACTCCCAGAAATCCCAGCCAGTTTACCAGCTGTTAGGATTTCTGGGAGTTGAAGGCCAAAAACATCTGGGGACCCCAGGTTGAGACCACTGCCCTAGCTGATCCTGCAGCCTTCCAATGCAATGGAGTATCTTAGCCTACTGCCATTGTGTTGAATTATTATTATTATTATTATTATTATTATTATTATTATTATTATGTTTATGTTTATTTATGCCCCACTTTTTCTCTCCACAAGGAGACTCGAAGCAACTAAAAAGAATCAGATGTCAGCCAGTCCAGTTGGGCTTTGAATGTGACATTGGGATAGAATATGGAGAAATACTGCTTTTTCACCTCAGGCATTTTGGGGGCAACCCTGGCTATTTTATGTGGAGCACATCAAGAGCAAACAGACAATGTGTCCCACAAATGTCCAGAGTTTGGAAAGGTTAATTTTGTTGAACTCCCATTCTCCAAAGTTATCCATGCAACATGGTTATTTGTCATGCTAGCTGGGAATTCGGGGAGTTTTAGACTAGAAAAAGTCAAATTTCCAAGTTCTATGCCAGGTATAGAGAGTCAGCTACCAGTGTAGGTAAAAGGCTGCACTTCAGCCCATACTAGAAAGGTATGTTCTGCTTACCAGGCAAGTTCTGTGTTTTGACACATATGTTCATGAACAAATCAGTTTGCTTTTAGGGCTGAATTTTGTACTCTTATTTTACCATGTTATGGTGGTATCTGGCTCTAACATGTGAATTAGGGTGTTTTTTTAATCTATTGTGTTGTGTTAAGTTTCATGACTTACCAGATATGGTGAGGAGAATGTTCACCATATGAAAAGTGACATGCAAAAATTGTCATCATGGTGATTTTGTAGTAGGGGGGAACATGAATCGATCCTGATTCATGTGCAGATGGATAGTTTGGCAACATCAGTCATTGTCCTCAACACAGGGTACACATTGTTCTGAGAAAAGCAACTAAAGCAGCTCCAGCCCTCCAGGAGTAGAAATCATATGCCCCTCTAGATGTTGTAGCCCTGCAGCTCCCACTAGTGAACATAGTCCCAATGTGAAGAGTGTTTGGAGCTGCAGTACAACATCATCTGGAGGGACACATAATACCATATGTTCCCTACTCCTACTAGAGGGAACCTTCAAGGTATACAGGAATTGCAATCAGAAAAGTTGCTATTTGAAGTGTAAACCCACCCCACCTCCCGCAGTCATAATAGCTGGGAGATTCTGTAAGTCGTTGTGCCCAAAAGTACTGTATATTCTGGCGTATAAGACTACTTTTTAACCCAAGAAAATCTTCTCAAAAGTCAGGGGTCGTCTTATACGCTGTAGTAGTCTTATACGCTGGAGTAGCCTTATGCATGGGAGTCGTCTTGTATGCGGGAGTCGTCTTGTATGCGGGAGTCGTCTTATACACCGGGAGTCGTCTTATAGAGCGGGTGCTGAAACTTCCAATCCGGATTGGAGAATCTGTGGTTGCTGCATATTGTGGATAGGAGCTCAAAAGTGGCAGTGGCCACGTCCCTGCCGTATGCAGCGACTGTATGAAAGCATTAAGGGCGACACTGTACAAGTATGGTAGAAGAACATCCATTCATCAGGATTCGAGGACTTAATGCAATATCGATGGTGAGGTGAAGGGGCGCCTCACCAGGAAGGTGGAAGTGAAGGGAGGAGCAAGCTGCAGGCGTCCGGGGCGCCTGGGGTATGGAAAAAAGAGATGGCTCTGGGAAAAAGAGTAGAAAAAAGAGTGGCTCTGGGCCCAAAAAAGGACACCTCTTTTACCTGTCTGGCCTACCCTTGTATCCTATTACCATACCTCCTCCTCTGCCTCTCAGATCTCTCTCCTGAAGACTGCAGTGAAGTGGTGCAAATGCGCATATGCGACATCTGAGAGGCAGAGAAGGAGGTACAGTAATAGGAAAATTACCATATTGAAATCAAATCTGATGCTTTAATTTTTTTTTATTTGGTGTGCGTTGGAAGAGGGGTAGTCTTATGCGGCAAGTATATGCCAAACTATATTTTAACTGGAAAAGTTGGGGGTCGTCTTATACACCCAGTCGTCCTATATGCCGGAATATATGGTAACTTTTTCAAGGTCTGATTAGATTTGAATGCAGTTCTGATATGATTGCCCCATCAGATTTCCGTTCTGACTTGAGCTGCCAAAATTGAGAAATGTAACCAGCACATATGGCAAAAATTATGCGGAGATGAATGACAGCGCAGCTATAAGCCTATGTGGAATTAGGGGTGTAAAGGCTCATAGGTTTGCATTCACACATCTCTGTGTGCACACAAGCACAACACCAGGAAATAATCATGCCAGATTTCCTGAATTAGGGCTGCACCTTGTAGCATCTTTGAACAGAGCTGACCCCAAATGTTTTGTTGCCAGAGGTAAACAAGTAGCATTTCCCTATACTCCACCTCAACTTCACATACATTATCTGTTACTTATGGAAGTCATAACACAGCATATCTGCAGGACAGCTGATTCACCAATCTGTCCTTTGATGCGAATTCATTTGCCACAAAACCTTAATACATCACAATGATACCTACAGTATAATCTGTGACAGCTTTCACAGAGCATTCTCAGAGTATGTTGGACTATAGCCTTCATCATCTCCAGACAGCATTGCTGGTAGTAGGAATAGATTGCTTTGAATGATTGTGGACCTTCCTTCTTTGGAGGTTTTTAACTGGATTGGCATCTTTCAGGAATTCTTTCATTGTGTATTCCTACATGGTAAGGAACTGGAATAAATGCTCCTTAAAATTCCTTTAAGCTATAAGTTTCTGTGATCCAGTATTCCTGGAGAGCACCAGATTGAGAACAATTGTTCTGTGGTGCGGATGTTCCATGAGACCAAGCCTTGCTGAGGATTTTCCAAAGTCTTCATCACTGGGGAGTGTGACCTGGAGTAACATCTCTTAGCAATGTGTTCCCCGGACGTTTTTGGCTTCATGTCTCAGACCCCTTCTACACTGCCATATAAAATCCAGATTATCTGCTTCGAACTGGATTATATGACAATGTAGACGCATATAAAGCAGATAATGGGGATTATCTACTTTGATAATCTGGATTATGTGGCAATGGCCTTTGAAGCCGAAGACAGCATGGATAAACCTTGGGCATTTGGAGGTCTTAAAATATCTGGAGGGCCAACATTTGGCAAGCTGACCTAGAATGCATTCTTCCTGCTAGTAGTCATTGCATGGGGAGATTACTAGTTAATATGATTGACAAATGGAATGGCCCTGGATTATGATTTGGATTGTGTGGTTTTAATTGATGTTTTAATAATTGATGTCATAACTGCTTTGAATTTTAATGTTTTTGTTTATTTTGTGGATATTATATATGTATGGCTTTGAACTGTTGCCTATTGTAAGGCTATTTTGAGTCCTCTTCGGTGTGAGAAGGGTGGGGTACAAATACAGTAAATAAATAAATAGTAGGAAGGCAATCCATCTGCCATGGTTGATTTCTTTATTAAGGAGCACTTGATACCCCCAGAGAACTTGAAACATAGCTTATGCAGCCTGGTTCTTGGGACATTCTTCCTGTAGCATTCCAGTAATCTTATTTTGGTTGTAGGTTGTGCAGTGCAAAGGAGAAACAGAAACAGAAACAGAGCATGCAGTATTTTAGAGTGCCAGTTAGTATCAAAGTTGTGTATCCTGCATCTCTGGTGCATTGATTTCCTGAGATTCTGCACTCCTCCTAAAGCACAGAATGATCCCATGTCTGTCGGGAATATGTCCCAGTACTTTGCATTAATATTCAAAATCTTATTGAATGAATGGCTTCTGGTGGAAGCATATTATAGATCACTGCTTCTTGAACTATGGATCCTAACCCCAAATTGAGTCCTCTTATCTTTGTGTTGTGGTCCTGAAACTTTTTCTAAATGTCTCCTAGTGCCTGTTTTAGACATTTAAACAAATCTGCTGTGTTTATAGTCCACTCTGTAGAAGATGCTTCAACTGTCCTTCATAAAAAGGGAAATTAGCTTAATGAGCAAGCCTTGCAAATGCTGATTTGTTATCAGTAAATATTGATCTTTATATATATTTTATATACCTATACACTGGAGTCTATAGGTATAGAACATACGTATAAAAATCAAATATTTATATACCTATATACCTGCGGTTGAGGCCCCCTGGTGGCGCAGCAGGTTAAACCACTGACCTGCTGAACTTGCTGACTGAAATGTTGGCAGTTTGAATCCGGGTGAGCTCCCGCTGTTAGCCCCAGTTTCTGCCAACCTAACATTTCAAAAACAAGCAAATGTGAGTAGATCAATAGGTACCGTTTCTGCGGGAAGGTAACGGCGCTCCATACAGTCATGCTGGCCACATGACCTAGAAGGTGTCTATGGACAACACCGGCTCTTTGGATTAAAAATGGAGGTGAGCACTCCCCCCCCCCCCCAAAGTCGGACTCGACTAGACTTAATGTCGAGGGGAAACCTTTACCTTTACTTTATACCTAGGGTCAGGTAAAAAATGTCTTTGACCAAATGAAGTCCCAAGTGGAAAAGTTGAAGAAGCCCTGCCATGGACTGGCACTGGAAAACCTTTGAAATGCTTAGAGGATATCTCCCTAGGCATCACTAGGTCCTCCAGTACAACTCTGTGGTCAAATTTGGGTGGAAGCATATAATAGAGGGCCCTGAAAATGCCAAGAGAGGACATATTTTGCTAGACATGTGTAGATGAGTCCATAGGTACTATAACCGTGCAGCCAAATCTCCTCCAGCCACGGTTAACCACTGTTGTGATGTTTTTCTCTCTGCAGTGGCAGGCCATTTCCCTGACGGTGATTGAAAAGGTGCAAATCGCAGCCATCATCTTGGGTTCGCTGTTCCTCATCGCCAGCATCTCGTGGCTCATCTGGTCGTCCCTCAGCCCTTCGGCCAAGTGGCAGCGGCAGGACCTCCTTTTCCAGATCTGCTATGGGATGTACGGTTTTATGGACATTGTGTGCATAGGTGAGAGCTTCCCTCCCGCTTTTCGGTGACTTACTTCTCCTCCCAGTTAGCATGAACCGGCAGGATGCCAGAGGCAGAGAAATGGAAAGCAATTTTTCACTCACTTTGTGATGCCTCTGTGGAACTCAATGCGGAGGAATGTGATGGTGGATTTCTGAAGATTTCTAGGCATTAGAGGGGCCCAGTTCTCAAGCACTGCCTCCGAGGAATAGTCGTGGGAGCTTGCTAACACACCGGCTGAAATTAGGATCGGTAGTATATGTGTTTCCATTGAGGTCAGAAAGCACTTCTCTCTAGGCATGTTTTATTGCGTCCTGGTTTTGCTGGAGATTGTAACAATTTGCTCCCGTTTGTTAGGTACCTCTCCCTTCCTCTCACTCTTTCTTTTCTGCCCCCTCTGGGCATTTTTTTAAAAATAGCTCTACCAATAGTCTTGATGCTGCAGAATTATTTGTAACCCTGGACTTGATGCAAGCACCAAATTGTGCATTGCTTTCAGAATTCAGCTTCCTGAGTCTCTAAGCCCTTTTTAATATACGAGAAATACATGTCCTTGCCCACGTGGATGTGGAGACAGCAAGTAATAACAATGCTTGATTAAATCCTAGAAGTTCAGTGGCAAGAAGATTGAACAAGTTTTCCATTAGGTAGCTCCACTACTTCATGTAGCTCCTGTCTCCTCCCTAGAAAATAAAATATGCAGATTTTTAAATTTAAAAAAAATCACAGAAATCAGCTTAAGTTATGTCATTCATACAGGGCACAGAATTTAGCTATTTGGATAGTGAATGAAAGATACGTTTTATTGATTGGCCTATTGGCCGTATCAAAACATTTAACACATAACACAATTAACACATAGTCATACATAGTCATACATACAACATACAACCCTCGGTTTATAAGGAGTTAAAATAAACAAGCTGTTAACAAGATCTCGTTCAGGTCAAATGTCTGCGTCACCTCCACAGTTTACCCCAATTGATTCTAAATGTGCAATTCTCAGCTGTGTTGCTTTGAATAGAAAGAGGGCTTTTTTGTGTGTCATTTTAGGGTTCTGGCTGGCCAACAAAAATGAGGTTTTAATATATGGGTCCCAGTGTGTTTTTTGAATAATGTATGGTCCAAGGCAATGGTTTCTCTCTTTCTTATACAGCTCACAGTTGAACAATACATGTGTGATATCCTCCACCTCTGGTGCTCCACAAATACAAAATCGTTCGTTGTATGGGACTTGATTAAACCTTCCGTGCTTGTCCATTGTATCCAGCTGTTCAAAACGAGCTCTGGTAAATACCCTCCTAAGGAGGATAGTGAATGAAAATTATAGTCAGCCTATGAAAGGCTCCAGTGGTGCAGCAGATTAAACTGCTGCTGAACTTGCTGACTGAAAGGTCGGCAGTCTGAATCCAGGAAGCAGGGTGAGCTCCCTCTATTAGCCCCAGCTTCTTCCAACCTAGCAGTTTGAAAACATGTGAATGTGAGTAAATCAATGGTTATTGCTCCAGCAGGAAGGTAATGCTGCTCCATGCAGTCATGCTGGCCATGTGACCTTGGAGGTATTTACTGACAACGCTGGCTCTTCATCTTAGAAATAGAAATGAGCACCACCCCCAGAGTCGGACATGACTAGACTTAATGTCAAAGGGAAACCATTACCTTTACTATGAGAAAAATACTCAGGTGTCAGGGATTTTCTCTCAGTCATGATGGGAGTTCTTTGTCAGTATTTACACAACTCTTTGCCTGACATTATATCTGGATTTAGCCCAGAGCAATTTCTGGGTTTCTGGCGGCTACAAGGGCTCCTCCTTGGACCTTGAAAGAATGTGTCAATTGTATTATTTCATTTAAATACAAGGGTGATGAGAGAATGTATGCCATGTTTTTGGTCCCGGTCTATATTAGTGACACAAGACGCCATTTTCAAAAGGCTTGACATGAACCAGAATCCATGTGCAGTTTTGGAAATAAGTTTCTCCTCAGCCTCAACCAGCTTTTGAGGTTGTCTTTTGTTTTCCTTATATCAATTCTATTCTGAATGATAGTGTATCTGTGAGATTTGCATCTATGGACCCTTCCACACAGCCATATAACCCAGAATATCAAGACAGGAAAACCCACAGTATCTGCTTTGAACTGGGTTATCTGAGTCCACATTGCCAAATATGCCTGTTCAAAGCAGATAATGCAAGATTTTATTCAGCTGTGTAGAAGAAACCCACATTAAGATGACAGAAAGACCTAATGAGGAATGAGGAGTGTGTCATTCTCCAGAGGTTGGATGAGAACTCACATCATCTCTTTTCCTTGGCAATGCTGGCTGTCATTAATAGGAGGTGAAGTCCAATATCTGGACACACTCACATGTTCTCTCCTTTCCCAAACTAAGGGAATGGGTCTTCATATCCAAATAGGTAAATATAACATCAGGAATCAATCAGCAGACCAGTCGTAAAAGACACAAACCATTTCAGGAATTCAGAGGCTCTCAATATAATCCTTAGAATGTCAGCTTTTGTTTTCTTATCTTTCTGGACCTCACATGGCAGAAATAAATCTTGGAACTACAATGGCACAAAAACTGAGGTACCTGAAGCTAAGAAGTGAATAAAACTCAGAACCGTCATGTCGTTAGTTTTGTTTCATTTATTGCTCCAGCAAAACTATGCATGTTTTCTGGGTTGCTGTGAATTTTCTGGGCTGTATCACCATGTTTGCCCACATCTATGGCCAGCATCCTCAGAGGTTGTGAGGTTTGTTGGAAACTAGGAAAGTGAGGTTTATATATCTGTGGAATAATGTCCAGAGTGGGAAAAAGAGCAAATGTGAATGTTGCAATTGGCCACCTTGATTAGCATTCTATGGCCTTGCAGCCTCAAAGCCTGGCTGGGTGCTGCCTGGGGGATCCTTTGTTGGGAGGTGTTAGCTGGCCCTGATTGATTCAACTCTGGTTCTGATAATAACAGTTTCTCCCCGTTCAATATGTTGTCGAAGGCTTTCATGGCCAGAATCACTGAGTTGCTGTGAGTTTTCCGGTTTGTATGGCCATGTTCCAGAAGCATTCTCTCCTGATGTTTCACCCACATCAATGGCAGGCTTCCTCAGAGGTTGTGAGGTCTGTTGGAAACTAAGCAAGTGAGGTTTACATACCTGTGGAATGTCCAGGATGCATGGTTTTGTGAAACCAAAACCAACTGAAATCATACGATGAGAAATTGGGAGTTCAGGACCCATCAGGAAAGTGGTAACAGAAGCTGTATTCACGACATTATTCCATAATGTATATAACTTAGTCACAGGTTTCTAGATTGCGAAGTGTTTCTGACATGACTCTTGGAGCTGAACACATGGCCAATCCTTGGAGGGAGAAGCATCCATCTGTCCGCTAGGCTGGCATGTCGTCGTATAGTTTACAAACCATCCCAGCCTCCGCCCCTTCCCACTCCCATCCATCACACAACCTTCTGGTTCCCTCTTCCCCCTCACTTCTGTTTGCCTCCCAGATGCCAAGCATCCATTATGATCTCAAGCATAAGTAAGCCAGTTACCTCCTTTGAAATCCCTGTCTGATTCACATGCCTCAATTTCAGTCCTTCTAAACTAGTAAAGTATGCAGCATTTGGCTGAGTGCGGTGAGTGACAGCATCAGAGGACAAAACAAAAACTCCTGAACAATTTCAAGAAACCTGGCCACTCTGAACTCACCCTGCCCTGCTGTAAGGATGGCCTGTCTAGGGCTTACAGAGCAATGAGAAGCTAAAAACCAAGGATTAAGTCCTATTGATTACTTGCAACTAGAGGAGACTCATTGATTTAGTTGTCGACCTAGATTTGATGCTTCGATTCCATTGCTGAGATTGACACTAAGGTTTAATTTTATGGTGAACATCTTAGGGCTTGTTTGGTTTTTGTTAGCAAAATAATAATAATAATAATAATAATAATTATTATTATTATTATTATTATTATTATTATTATTTATTTGTAGATTGCCCTATCTCCTCAAATGGACTCAGAGTGGTTTCCAATACATATGGCAAACATTCAATGCTTACAAGGAACATATAAACAAGTTACAGCGAAACAAACTACATCAAACAATATAAAAGCAACATACAAATATTCAGTAGCCAACAAGCAGCCAGTACTGTTCTTTTAACACAGGTCTCTTGGATGTGGCAACTGTGAATGTCTATATTTATGTATTGTCGAAGGCTTTCATGGCCGGAATCACTGGGTTGTTGTAGGTTTTTTCGGGCTATATGGCCATGTTCTAGAGGCATTCTCTCCTGACGTTTCGCCTGCATCTATGGCAAGCATCCTCAGAGGTAGTGAGGTCTGTTGGAACTAGGAAAAGGGTTTATATATCTGTGGAAAGACCAGGGTGGGACAAAGAACTCTTGTCTGCTGGAGCTAGGTGTGAATGTGTCAACTGACCACCTTGATTAGCATTTGATGGCCTGGCAGTGCCTGGGGCAATCTTTTGTTGAGAGGTGATTAGATGTCCCTGATTGTTTTCCCTCTGTTGTTTTGCTGTTGTAATTTTAGAGTTTTTTTAATATTGGTAGCCAGATTTTGTTCATTTTCATGGTTTCCTCCTTTCTGTTGAAATTGTCCACATGCTTGTGGATTTCAATGGCTTCTCTGTGTAGTCTGACATGGTGGTTGTGAGAGTGGTCCAGCATTTCTGTGTTCTCAAATAATATGCTGTGTCCAGGTTGGTTCATCAGGTGCTCTGCTATGGCTGACTTCTCTGGTTGAAGTAGTCTGCAGTGCCTTTCATGTTCCTTGATTCTTGTTTGGGCAATGCTGCGTTTGGTGGTCCCTATGTAGACTTGTCCACGGCTGCATGGTACACAGTAGACTCCTGCAGAAGTGAGAGGGTCCCTCTTGTCCTTTGCTGAACGTAGCATTTGTTGGATTTTCTTAGTGGGTCTGTAGATAGTTTGTATGTTGTGTTTCCTCATCAGCTTCCCTATGCGGTCAGTGGTTCCCTT